GCATGTTGTTGAACTTGGTCTTACCCTATTAGCACAAGCCAAAATGACACTTTATTTTTGGTGGGAAGCTTTCTCAATTGTCGTGTTTCTAATAAATAGGTTGCTTACACCTATAATTAGGAATAAAAGTCCCTACTCAGTACTACTTAATAAGGAACCTGATTATAATAACCTAAATTCTTTTGGTTGTGCATGTTATCCATGTCTCAAGCCTTATAATGCCCATAAGTTGCAGTACCACACTACAAAATGTGTATTTCTTGGTTATAGTAGTTCTCATAAGGGATTCAAGTGCATGAACTCAAATGGCAGAATCTTTATCTCAAGACATGTGATATTTAATGAACATGAGTTTCCTTTTCATGATGGCTTCCTCAACAAACAAAAGTTAGCAGAAATTTTTACTGAACCAACTTCCTCTTTCTATCCTTTGATTCCTGCAGAGATTGGCCATAATAATGGATCTGAAACTTATAGATCAATTAGTGCAGAGCAATCCAATAATAGCACACAAAATGATGGTGATCAACATTAGAACAACTACAACACACAAATTCCAACAGAAAATTTATCACCTACTCATGAACAACAGATTGATGCAGAACCAACAGAGACTTTATCTGAACTAGTAGCTGAAGAAAACTCACAAAACACCAATAATAGAGCAGATGATGTAGTAGTTGACAACAACACCATTCTAATCTCAAACACTCATAGTATGTGTACAAGGAGCAAGGCAGGGATTCTCAAGCCAAAACTTCCTTACATTGGAACAACTGAGAAACATGAGGAAGAGAAAGAACCAGAGACAGTAATAGAAGCTCTTAAAAGATTAAAATGGAGAAAAGCCATGAATTCTGAATTTAAAGCCTTAATTTCCAATGGAACTTGGACATTGGTACCTTATCAAGGCCAGGAAAATGTCATTGACTCTAAATGGGTCTTTAAAACTAAGTACAAAGCAGATGGAACAGTAGAAAGAAGAAAAGCTAGGCTGGTTGCAAAAGGTTTCCAACAAACTGCAGGTGTGGATTTTGATGAAACTTTCAGTCCTGTAATTAAAGCTAGCACAATGAGGATCATCTTGGCTATAACTGTACATTACAACTGGGAGGTGCGACAGATGGATATCAACAACGCCTTCCTAAATGGTTATTTAAAGGAGACAATATTTATGCATCAACCTGAAGGATTTACGGATCCTAACAAGCCTCACCATGTCTGCAAACTCATCAAAGCTATCTATGGACTCAAACAAGCACCAAGAGCATGGTTTGATAGACTCAAGAAAGTTTTACTCCATTGGGGGTTTCAAAATACTCATAGTGACTCATCACTTTTTTTTTCTTAGAGGCAAAAATCTTATTACCTTCCTATTAATTTATGTAGATGACATAATTGTTACAGGAAGCAATACTAATTTTTTTGCAAGCTTTCATCAAACAACTCAATGTGGTCTTTGCACTAGAGGATCTTGGGAAGCTACATTACTTCCTTGGCATTGAAGTGCATAGAGACAGTGGTGGCATGTTTCTTAAACAAACCAAATATATTGCAGATATCCTTAAGAAATTCAAAATGGATCAAGCTTCCTCTTATCCAACACCTATGGTTACAGGAAGGTCATTCACTAATGAAGGAGAGCCAATGAAGAATCCTACTAGTTTTTGACAAGCTATTGGTTCTCTTCAATATTTAACAAATACAAGGCCTGACATTGCGTATTCAGTAAATAAATTAAGCCAGTACATGAGTGCTCCAACTGATGATCACTAGCATGGAATTCAAAGGATCCTACGATATCTTTGTGGAACTATAAACCATTATTTGCATATCAAATCCTTGGCTGATCTCGATATAATAGGTTTTTCTGATGCAGATTGGGCCACAAGTGTAGATGATAGAAAGTCAATTGCAGGACAATGTGTCTTTCTTGGAGAATCCCTCATTGCATGGTCATTAAGGAAGCAAAATGTGGTTTCTAGATCAAGTACAAAATCTAAATATAGGGCAGTTGAGGTTAAATGGATTAAATCACTACTACGGGAGATAAAACTACCTATGCCAAGGAAGCCAATTTTGGGGTGTGACAACTTGAGTGCAAAGGCATTAACATCGAATCCTGTGATGCATGCCAGGTCAAAACACATAGAGGTTGACATTCATTTTATTAGAGATTAAGTTCTACAAAACCAAATTAGCATAGCCTATGTTCCAAGTTCTTATCAAATAGCTGATTGCTTAACTAAAGCACTCGCTCACTCAAAATTCTCACAACTTAGAGACAAACTCGGTGTAGTTCAATCACCCACTCATTTGAGGGGGGGGGGGGGTGTTAAAGGATAACAAATTCTGTTATATTTTGATATCCCTATCAAAATATAACTAATTAGTTATCTGTTTAATAATAGAAAGATTTTCTTATCTGTTTAGCTTATTGTTTGGCATTCTATTATCAAGCTGATGTATATATATAGTATACTGATCAATGGAAATTATTATCACTTTCTGCCACTTCTCTATTTTTCTAACTATTCTCTCACAATAAATATATTATTTATAATTGTAATAGTTGAATAATTTATCAAAAGATTTAGCTATGAAAAAAATATTACATTAAATAGTGAGAACATTATTTATTTTAAAATATTAAAATTCTCATCAACGTAAAACTTAGAGAATATCATTCTTCCAATAGTTGACTTTTTTTTATTTAAAAAAATTAATCTTCTCTCACTTATTTGTTTCTCATCTAACTAATTAATATTTCAAGAGATATTAATTAACTAAGGATACTTTAAATAATAATTAATACATATAAAAATTAAAAAATATCACAAAATACAGAACTTCTAATTTTTTTTAAAAGGTCTCATTTACAAGAATGAAAATAATATTTACTTTCTCTTACTTTTCATTTGAATTAAAAAAGAATATGAAAGTGCACTTTCCTCGGTGGTTTCGTAAAATTGTGCAATAAGCAGCCAAATTGGAAGAATGTACCTACCTCGTCGAGGCTGAAACCGCAAATAAATAAATAATATATATATAT